ATGTGGCCGCCTCATATTTACAAGTATCTGATTACACGGATGTGTAAATGCCGATGTATTTATAATGACGTGTGCACTATCGGACATGTTGATTTAGAGCTGATGGCTTTAGTCTGGAGTATTCAGTGTCTTATTTTAGAACTCAATTTTGGAATGATGAGTGTTTTTAAATTCTAGTATATGATAATATTTTGTGGCTTGATAACCATTTTTTATTTTGAGTTTGCGAGGTCTTCAATGTTTTATCAGCGAATAAACAGATTTATGTAAATTGAAAATTTGATGAATTTTTTAGACATATTTTTCTGTTATTTCCTTTTTGCTATATTATTTATATCTTTTTTTTTTGCTATTCTGCTTCCAACCTTCCTTTGTTTTTTTCTTCTTTTCCTTTCTTTCTTCTTTTATTTCTTTCTTTTTATTCCTTTCTTGATTTCTTCTTTCCTTCTATTTACCGCCTTTATTTCTCTCTTTTTCAATTTCTCAGGTGTTTTTTCTTTCTTTCTTTCTTTCTTTCTTTCTTTCTTTCTTTCTTTCTTTCTTTCTTTCTTTCATCCTTCTTTCTTTTCCCACTTTATTTTTGTCTTTTATCCTCTTTCATTTTTCTTTATTAGCAATCTATCTAATCCAGCCTTATTTCTTAATTCATATATTTGTTTATTTATTTATTTTTCCTACCTTTTTCTTCTTTCTTTCTTTCTTTCTTTCTTTCTTTCTTTCTTTCTTTCTTTCTTTCTTTACCCTACTTTCTTTCTTTTTCACTTTTCTTTCTCTCTTTTCCGCCATTTTAATTATTTCCTTCTTTCTTGGCTTTTTTCTTTTTCTTTTTTCTTTTTCGTTATGCCTTTCGTTTTTCATTCCAATTTTCTTTCTTTCTTGTCCACATTTCATTATTTCTTTTGCCACATTTCTTTCTTTCTTTTTTTCAATCGTTCAGTTTTCTTTCTTTCATTCTTTATTCAATTATTTTTTTTCTTCCTATCTTTTTTTCTTTCTTTTTTTCCCCAACTCTCTTTGTTTCTTTTTGCATTTTCGTTCTTTGTCTTAATTTTCATCCTTCCCTTTTTTGTTTCTTTTTCTCTTTCTTTCTTTCTTTCGTTCCTCTTTTCTTTCTTTCTTTCTTTCTTTCTTTCTTTTTCACTTTTCATTCTTTCTTTTTCCACACTTCTTTCTTTTTTCCATCTTTCATTTTTCTTTCTTTCTTACAATCTTTCTTTCTTTCTTTTTTCTTTTTCCCACGATTCTTTATATATTTATTTATTTACTTTTTTACCCTTTCTTTCTGTCTCTTTTTTCCCCAACTTTATTTGTTACTCTTTTACTTTCTTTCTTTTCCTCAGTTTGCATTCTTTCTTTCTTTCTTTCTTTCTTTCTTTCTTTTACCACTTTACTTCTTTCTTTTTTCCACCTTTCACTTTTCTTTCTTTCTTTGATTTGTACTTTCTTTACTTCTTTCTTTTTCATGCATTTCTTTCTCTCTTTCTCTCTTTCTTTCATTCTTTTTCTTTTTTCACTTTTCTTTCTTTCTTTTCCTCTTTTCATTCTATCTTTCTTTCCAAATTTCCATCTTTCATTTTTCCATCTTTCATTTTTCCATCTTTCATTTCAAATACTTCACAATTCCTCCTCTTATTCTATTTTCATTTCGATTTTCCTTGATTACGAATTACATGACAACTTCTTCAAAATATAACGTAAGGCTCATTCTGTCACTCATTCTAAAAACATAGATTAGCGTATTTTCCGGTTTACAAGACGCTGCGGCATGGAAGACGCACCCTAATATTGGAAAGATATTTCTAAGAAAAAAATATTCTCATACAACAACACATTCACCATGCATCCTTCACATACTGGCGCCACGTATTGTTTACATTAATCACGATTTTGTTTGCGTGGCAATGACATACCAGTCAAGAGTAGAAAGGTTCCCGCCACTGCAAGTAAACAGAGCATGTTTAAGATTGTGGCTCGGCTCCAGGAAGGTTTATAGTCTTGGAAATGCTTGTAACTAAGTACTGAGGTTACATCATATAAAAGGTTAGATTAGGTAGACTGCTAACATTATAGTGTAATGACTCAACATAAAATCCACGTTCCTATCAATCAAGCCAATTAGGTGAACGTTCAATCTTACTTGAGCCTGGGCATTGCATTACATTCGTCTTGGAAGACGCGCGCGTATTTTTCAGGCTATTTTCTTTAGGAAAAAGCGCGTCTTGTAAACCGTTAAATACGGTATTAGATCTGACAATATTTTAGTCCTGTGAATTTGATACATATTTATTTTGTGCATTTTACTAGTTTCAGCAGTAGTAGCAGGAGTAGCTCTAGACGTTGTTGTAGCAATGTATTAATTTCAGCAAGAAAAAGAGTGGTAAAAATAGTAAGAAACGTAATAATTTAATAGCACGCAAACTCAAAATGTGACGCAAAGGTCATGTTTAAAGTGGGGCGGTAACTGACACGGACTGCTAACAAAAATTGCTCAAGACTCCTTGATACCTTTCCTTTTGGAGGTATCTCAAAAAGAGAGGGTACTGTGGAGGCTTCCACCCTGATCCCTCTTACGAAGGAGAGGTAAACCCTTGAGTGACGCCCTCTCCAATGAGATCGAGCTAATTAATTTTCAAACCCCTTGCAGGCGTATTTTTCTATTAAATATCCTAAGTAATTCTTTAACATATCTGCTAGATTTAGGTAAGGTTGGTGTCTGGTGTTTACTTGTGAAAATTACACATTTACATATTGTATAGATTGGTGGCATCAATTTCAAATTTGCTTCATATTATTGACTTCTAAATTTAAAAATTAAAAAAAAATATATTTATCGGCAATATTCATTGTTGCTTTCTTTTGTTAATGAATTCTAAACATATCGCTGTCTGGATCAGTTATAACAAATTTAGCATAGCAGATAAGGAAACTTAACACGTGATATGATGCGCAAGATCGACGTTTGTTTAACATTTTAAGATGCTACAAAAATAGAATATTATCCTGAAAACTAGAGTTAGGTTATTAAAAAGTTCGGTCAAATCTAGTGTCTCCAATGTATGTGAGGCATAGCATAAAACCCGTTCAAAAGTGTTTAAACTACCATGTAGACCAAGGGTCGGCAACCTACGGACCGCGGGCCGGATCCGACCCGTTAAGGCATTTTGACCGGCCCGCGAGCCTGATTACCAATGACTCTATTTTTAACATGAGAGACGACCTTCAAATGAAATTTGTTATATGTCATTTTCCATAGAATGTCTACACATCTCAGTGCACTAAAAATATTAGACTATCTGCCAGTTATCTTTCATGAGACTTATTTTACCAAGTTGCGTTGCCTACGTTTAATGTCAAATAATGGATACATATTTGTTATGACCCTTGGCTACATTAAAAGATAACAGAAGCGAAAGGAACGATAAAGTGAAAGAGGCCAGGGAGGGACTGACATGCGAGGTAGTAGAAATCTAAAGACAGTTAAACATACGCGCATTATACATACATGTCTCATGAATGTGTGGATGATACCGCATGTGTACGTACGTAAGTGTATATGTTTGCAACTATTTGTACTCGTATGTATGGGTATATGTGCTTAGTTTTTGTTTGATGTGTGTGTGTGTGTGTGTGTGTGTGTGTGGTTCGTTTGTGGAACAATTTTCAATAACAGTTTCAAACCTACACGTCATAATTTCATCCATTTCACTTCGGTTGATTTTTTTTCACTTTGAAGTATTTTGACGTTCCTTGAGGAAAAGTAATTTTTGTTAGGTGTTTTTTTTTTTAATTTTAGATTTTCTTTTGTTTTTCTGATTTCTCAGTGTTTATTTTCATTATGGTTTTAAATATTTAGGTTGACAGGGGTCTGCATGTGTAATTTTCCTTAATTTTTCATTAATGGCCTTCATCCGTTGGTGTTACAGAGATTGGATTCCATTGCTAAAGAAACTTTCATCTTGTTGGTAAGTCAATAACATCAGATATGACCACATTATCACTGCGATAATGGTTCCCAGCCAAGTTTTTATCATGTCGGCCGACAGATGATTTGAGCCAAATCAGGATAATAGCTAGGGTGATCAGCCAGTTCGGCACAGCAGTCATTGAATACAAAGAACTCGTATGAATTGTCCCGATGAAGCAAGACCACTCTCACGCGTGTTCCTCTGCTTTTGGTCTTAATAGCATTTTGTAAATACCTCAGCAAGTTGACACAGTAACCCTCTCCCTTGATGGTGTAGCCCTTTTGAATATATTCAATAAGCGCTATGCTTTTGCTATCCGGAAAAACTGAGAATATCATTTTCCCTGCACCTGAAACGACCTTGGCCTTTTTGGAGCAGATGAGGAGGAGTTTTTCCACTGCATAGATTGTCTGGCTTAAAGTGATGAACCCAACACTTATCCTGGGCTAGGAAACACTCAAGGAAACCAGATGGATCTGCTTCATACATTATTTCGTTATGTGATCAGCCTGGTGCGCTTTTGATCAGGTGTCAGAAGACGTAGCACCCAGCGAGCAGAAACCTTCGTCCTGCCAAGTTCATTGTATAGAATATTCTCAACTCTCTCAAGAAATATTTTAATAGCATTGGCTATTTGATTTATAGTCAATCGCCTGTGGTGAACAGGATCAATGTTTTCTCCCGGTGGTGGCAGCTGCAGGTCATGTTCAAGACATTTCCTTCTCCTTCTAAATTCAGCCGCCCACATTTGCACTGTTGATAAAGCTGGAACGTCATATCTTAATGTAGCAACCATGTCAGTATGAATGTGCTTTTTCTGCAGGTATTGTACATTTTAAAATGTAGTCGCAACTAGTTATTTTTAAAGTATGCTTTGGACAGTCAGTTATCAGTTTACCTGGAACGAAACAATGCAGAAAGAAAAAATTGAAACACCTGAAACTAATGCATGCAAGATTTCAAAATTCTAGCATCACACCTTCAGAATCAGCCTAGGAACTTTCCCACCCTCTTTCGTATATAGAGTTCTTGATAAAATGACACAGTAGAATTAGTCACTGCTTCAGTCACTTTTCCATCGCCGTATTGTAGCTTCCCTCTAACTTTTCTATAAATATTTCCATGGTAATTGTTCTGATGAACTTGCCTCTATGGTACCTAGACTTTATGAATTTAAGCGCAGTACTAGATTTGCGGCAAGGACTCATCATGGCACAGTTTCTGGAGAAATTGACGGTTCTGGCAGGGAAAGAAATAATATACTTAACTGGATTATTGGTTCTGGTTGACTAAAAGTTGTTACGTTTTTACTAATTTTTTTTATAATTACAAGATCTCGTGACTTGTTACCACGTGATCCCTGAAATGGTTATAAAGGAAATGTTTTTTCCTCCTTTTCGTCATGCAAGTTATCAGTCGATTAAGTTACGTCGCGAAAAGAAATACATTTTCGCAAATTAAGGCAAGTACTTTTACTCTTTTCATCGACAGGCACCGTCTCTGGACTTGTCTTTGGGATGAGATTTTCTCGACAAATTAAAAAAGTTAGACGTAACCGTAAGTTCTATGCGAACAATTTCTTCTTTCGCACTTCTTGCTTGTGAGACTCTCTTCCGACCACCTATTTCTAAGTCAAATTTGATATCTGTCTATATTTCTGAGATGAGGTATTATGTACACTATTTACATTGTTTGGACTATTGTCCTCATCTTTGTCGCCATAATTATTACAAGGACCAGTGACAGGACCCAAAGAGTGTGAGTTCAATACCTGGTTAAGGCAGTGGAGAACTTGGAGAGGAGAATTAACAGGAGATAACTGACATAAAAACATGGTACGTGGAACTAGAACAGTCTTCCCCAATGAGCGAAATAAAAAGTTCAGTTCGACATTCCAACCACCTGATGAAGGCCGCAGCGTACAACGACCGAAACGTTGTAATAAATATGGCGACAAAGATGAGGATCAAATTTGATATTCAAAAATTGAAATGCATTGTCAATCGTTATCTTCTGTTTTTTCTTATTCCGTTTTTATTCTTCTATCTCCTTAATAATGATTTCTTTTCCACATTCCTTCGCACTCAGTAACCCCTTGCGCCTAGCTGGTTTTATTGCCTTGATTGGGGTGAAAAGATTCAAAAATATCATTACAAATTAACAAAAGCTACTTTAACACTTTTTAGCAGCAACAACAATTAAAATATACATTAAATGTTTCTCGGAGAAAATGACGATGAAATGAAAACATTTGGGCGGACTAGGTAATGGCTGCTTGAAGTGAGTCAGCCGTTCATTTTTGAACAGACTGCTCGGTTCAACTCTCTGTCTCCGGATGGAGAGGAACCCGAAGGAGGTTACGCCGAAGGGCGGAGTCTCTTTCGGGGAGGTAAAACCGGCCCTAATCCGCTGATGCGGGTTCAAACGGGCATATTTTTGGGCCGGGCCCACGGGCTCGGGAATACCCACAATAAACAACCGACCTTGTGTCATATGTTGCCCCAGTGTGGGGGGGGACTCAATATCGTAATGGCTGCTCCAGTTGCTCCTACACAATAACCACTTATTTAAGACGTTGCATATTGAGAAAGACAATATTCGGAAAATGCTATTGAACTTCCAACGTCATGATCTATTATTAATTCTGACAGTGAAAAAGTACCCTTATAATATCTGCAACAAGATCAGCAGATG